TCAACACTGTGTCTAAATAAACGATGGCGTTCATCGAACTTCGCAATTAAGTATGTGTACGGATAAAACACCGAAAAAGACATTTTGTTTTCAACAGTTAAAACACGTATACAAACTTGCAGTTACCCATGGAATATTGTTAATTCCATAATATGAGAGGAGTTTCTTAGCAGGGTGTGTCCTGTAGTTTTCAGTCTCATTTAATTTATTGCATTGTTCCTAGTGTGAGCGCAGGCGTACATGCGTACACCCTCGCTTTGGCAGTCTGTTGTGTTTTGTTGCACGCCCGCCTACGTGTGGCGAAAGCATGGTGTTCTGCGCGCACCCGCATCATGTGGCGGCTACGTGCGCATTTTTCACGCTTGCTGCAGTCAGCAATGCGGAGTTGTCCACGAGGAAATTCTATCGAATTTAGTCTTGTCTATAAAGTTCTAGCAATCACGCCGTTTCTCGCTTTCCATAGCGTAGGCGCTGTATAGCATTGCCAGATCTGTTTGGCAGGCAGAATTCCGTCAATTCTGTTCCTGCGCGTGAACCTTCATCAGGTCCACGCTCATATGGTAGCAAGAGTCGTGTTTCTCCAGGATAATCTGTGAGTTTTCCCGTCCATCTGACGAGGTGTGGAAGACGTTTCCGCGAGAAAGGGCTCGCGTACGGTTTGGTGGCGAAGGAGCGTTTGGATCCAGTCAGCAGACTTGAAAACGGTGCATCTCTACTGCGTAGAGTGCACTGTATCAGTCTGACGCGACCAAGGTTACTGCCGTAGCTTTGGTTGGAGGGCACAAGCGCCGAGAAAGATCGCCACAAGAGGCAGAAGCCCGAAGGGGGCACGAGTGGGCAAGCCACTTTTGGACTGCGGGTGTGGAGTTCAGGTTCGTCTCTACTGCGTAGAGCGAACACATCATACGCGCTCCCCCAAAAGGGTGGTCGAGCGCCCCTGTCGTCGCCAACGTCAAGGCACGACAGAAGACCCGCAGCCAGCAAGTCTTTTGGTCGACGCACCGCTGCGTCCTGCTGACACGAAGCAGAAGGGGTTATCGGCTGGCCCAGGAGAAGTCAGCTTAATCGCTGGAGGATTGGAGGATTCGCGGAAGGACGCGTTGGATCGATTCTGGATTCTGGAAATCGATAAAGGTCAGATTTCCGTTATTAATTTTAGAATTGGCTGATAAGTAGAATTTTCAATTTTCATTGGTCGGTTCTGAGCTGAGCAGAAAAGTAGGCAGTACTTTTGCGCACGGCGCGCTAGTGAAAATTTTCGATTTTGGTCGTGACGTCACTCTGCCTTATAAACTGAAAAACAACTTACCTGATTGGTCGATTATTCGCACTGTGATTGGCGCAGCAGCGTAGCTAAAGTTAGCTAAGAAATCAGCCAATTAGAAGCTGAGATTTCGTAAGGAGGCGGAGTTTTTGCGCACGGCACTCAAGATTGTGACGTAGCTAGCTAAGAAAATTTTCTGAACCAACCGATGAGAAGTTGACCTTTACCAAAAAGTTGACGAGATTGATGACCTTTAACATAAGTGCTTAAGCTGAAGAAATAACGTTGTTCTGAGGAAATCTAAGTTGATTTCTTAAATAAAATCCAAAAATATTCTCAGGTTAGACGTTTCTGACTAAAGTTGTCAGTGACCTTTATAAGAAAAAAGTTCTGAAAGAAAAAGTGAGCTTTAACGCGACGGAGTAAGCTTTCAAGCCGAAACAGTGGGAAATAAGCTAGATTTTGCAATAAGGAGTGACCTTTAAAAGGGACTTAGTCAAATTTTTTCAAAGAAAAGTGACCTCTAGGAAAGACTTAGCTCCTTTTGAGGCAGAGTGACCTTTAGCAAAGCTGAGCTGATAAAAACGAAGGTGACCTTTAGGACAGCGCTTGTTTCTGTTTACGTGAAAAGGGCTTACGTAGCTAAAACTAACACACGTGTCAGAAACATTATTAGCATCGTCCAAGTTATCCGATCATCAATAAACCCAAAGACATGGATCAAGATACAGACGGTAATGAACCGGTCTCAGCGGGTAGTCAGAGAGAACGGTCAGAAAACCCTTACGAGCGGAAATTAAAGCCGTTCACACGTCCAGTGGAACATGAAAGAGCAACTCGAGCTCAGAAGACCTTTGGGAGGAAGGACACCAAAGGTTCAGAAGCCACATACCAAAAGGCTCTGAAGGAAACCTTGAACAAAGAGAGCTCGAGTGACGGAAGTCAAAACTCTGGACGGCACGCCGACGACGGCACGGTAGACCAGTCAAAGGTCACCGAAGAGAAAACGGCTACGGATGGACAGAATAAAGATGACTTGAAGGCCGAGACCGGAGGAATGGCACGGTCGGCCGAAGTGGTCAAAGAGGAAAACGCGGATTTAGTTGAGAAGGGAAACGACGAAGTCAGTCAAAAGGTCACCGAAGGGGGGTGATGCCGTCAACAGCAATCAGCTGTCAGACGAGAAAAAGGTCGACCAGGACGACCTTTCGGATAACTCATTGTTTTCGAAAGACTTGCTGGATGAGAATGGTACCAGCCCTATGTCAAATGATAAGTTCTACACCGACGACGAAGATGAGACGACGGTACAGATGTCATTCCACACTGCAATGAAGCAAGCTGACTTGGCAGGTGGAATAATAAAAATGACCTCCAAAGAAAAACTGGAAGAGACCTTCGAGGGGAACGGCGTCAGGAAGGGCTGACAATGGAAGGTCACCAACACCTCCCACATCGAACGAAGCAAAACAGCGGATCAGAGATCTAGAAAAGCTTCTCGATGAAAAGGAAGAGCAAGCATTTGCTGCCGTACGAGAACAACGAAACAAAACTATTGAAGTTGAAGCAAGAGTATTCCAATTGGAACAGGAAAAGGTCACGCTGGAAGAAGAAGCAACACAATGGAAGATCAAATACGTTGCCCAGAGACAAGCTGCGGAAGAGCTGAAGAAAATGGTAGACGATAAGGATATGGAAGGAATCCTCGCAGCAGAGGACCTCAACAACAGTTTCTCCGAAGAATCAGCCGAAAGGTCACGGGAGATAGCAGAACTGAAAAATGAGCGTGACCTTTTGCAGTCAAAGGTCAAAGAGGCCGAGAAAAAGCGTGACGAAAGTTTAGCAAATGCGACAAAGTTCACCGTAAAGATATCCAGTCTGACAGCAGACATCACAAAATTAAAGGATGACCTTAAATTGCGAGAAGAGAGCATTAAGACGCTGCAGACGGAACTACAAGAAAGGAAGAGGAAACAAAGTGAAGCAGAGAGCCAGAGAGATCAAGCCGCACAGAAGCTTCTCGAGCTGGCAGGGACGACAAAAAACGAAAGCAAAAGACTGAACGACGAAATCGAAAGTCAAAAGAAAGAAGTAAAGAAGTGGTCAACCTCGGCACAACAGAGTGACGAACGGGTCACTGTGCTAGAGACTCAGAATAGAGAAGGGCAATTGAAAATTGAAAACCAAAAAGAGGAAATCACTAAACTAAGCAATGAATTGGTAGGAATGGCCACCACAATAATGGAAAAGGATGATAAAATTAATGAGCTGGAAGCCCAATTGAAGACAGTCGAAGAGGAATGCGGAGCGAGAGGAAGGACCCTCATATCTCGGGCGGACCAAATCACTCGACTGCAAGCAGAAGCGGAAATTCTGAAGGAAGCAAAGAAGGACCTCGATAAGACCCTCGATCAAAGGGCAAGCACAATTATCGAGCAGATGAAAAAGGTCACCGAAGCAAACGAGAGTTACGAGAAGCTAAGAAAGGATGCAAATGATTTGGTCAAGGTATACCGACAGATAGACTCGTTGAACAAAACGCTCCAAGAGGAAATCAAAGCGCTTAAAAACTCAGCAAAAGCAAAAGAAGAGGAAACAACTAAACAGCACTTAAAGGAGCCGAAACGGATAGAGTCTCCGCCCCCTGGATACGGTGAAGTCCACACGGTCGAAGGCAGCTTCCATTTCGAAGCACCCATAAAGACTGGAATGGGCAGAACTGACGACCACGATAAAGAAAAGGTCAAAAGGAAGACACCGAGTCGGCGAAGGGGCACTCGGGACCGAACGGCGGTGGTAATTCAAAGCAGCAAAAATCAACGTACGATGATATACCAGAAGAAACCATCGTTTATAAATCCGACTACCGCCTAGATGATCGGGAAGACCCACGAGATCGCCAAAACGAGCAGGAAAGGGTAGCTCGTGAAGAAGAGAGGCGAGAAAGAGAACACCGCGCGGAATGCCACGCTGAAGCACATGACTCCGTCGCGAAGAAAGGGAATTCAGAGGGATCATGAGAGCCATGTCCCGGAAATCCGCACTGATTGACTTCAATGGCAACCGAGAAGCCTTACTCGGTTGGATCCGTCAGGTCAAGGAGACTCAGAAGACGTATGACCTTTCTGATGCAGCAATGATGCTGGAAGTCGCCAACGCAGTCAAAGGGACGCGAAGGCTTGGTTTGATGCGGAAAGAGAAATCGACGATGAGGAAGAGGCAGACGAACTAACCGTCGATGAATGGATGACAAAGTTCAAAGAACATTTTGGCGATCGTGACGAAGGGGTCAACGCCTTAAGGGAAGCTATGACAAGAAAGTTTGAGACCGGCAAGGAAACGCTTGATCAATTTTATCAAGCGATCATGCGCTTCAAATCGAAACGGGTCATCACAGAAAAGCAGGCCATCGGATTCCTCATCCAAGGATGTAAAACGACAGTGACCTTTATAAGGCACTTCGAGCACAAAATTCCATAACCCCATGGACATCAAGGAATTCTTCCGCACATGGTCGACCGGAGAAGAAAAGTATAAGGTCACGAGAGGTAACCGAACCCAAGATGACTGCGTTATAATTCGATCAGGTCAGATCGAAGAAGTCGCGAATGGGCGACAAAACCAGTCATGCCCGGCGCCGGTGCCAGGATACAATATGGAATTCCCGCCTCTAGGCACTCAAGAAGTGACCTTTGGCAACGGTCGAAATGAAGGTCAAGTATCGTACGCGACGATCGCGGCGATACAAACAGCTGTTCAAGAAGTAGCCAAGCCTGCGATCGCGGCGATCCAAGCATCAGCTCAGCAAGCGGCAAGGCCGAAACAGAATCCACAAGGAAACGCCCTGAATGGAGGGCTTGGCGGTCAAGGAATGGCTCAGGTAAATCCAGGCTTCGCTGGCCAGGGATTTAATGGTGGCGGAAGAAACCAGGGAAACTGCCGACCGAACCGAGGACAGGGAAATCAAGGACCACGATACGGGTCGCGAATGGAGCGCCTGTTCACCATGATTGACGGATGGGTAATAAATAATGCGCTGACATGCCAGAATTGCATGTACGGCAATCACTATACGCAAGCGTGCTCATTCGCGGGCGTACCATGGAACCAAAACCCAAATCGAGTTGTATATGAAGAATGGTTGATGTTGCGTAATAATCATGGTGGATGGCGCAACGCGATGGCAAACGGATATGTGCCACAGTCACGACAAGGTGGGCAGTATGCTGGCCAAGGTGGTCAAGGGAACGTCGGTGGTCAAGGCGGCCAAGGGAATTTTGCCGGTCAAGGTGGCCAGGGCAATTTTGGAAACCAAGGTGGCGGCCAGGGCAACTTCGCCGGTCAAGGTGGCCAGGGCGGAGGATACGGTCAGAACGGCCCAGTCCGAGGAGGCTTCAGAGGAAGGGGCAGAGGCTTCGGCCGCGGAGGTAACCGTGGTTACGGCTTTGCCGGCCCGGGCCAAGGAGGCGGTAACGGAAACTTTGGTGGTCAAGGTGGCCAGTGGAACAACGGAGGTGGTCAAGGTGGCCAGAACTACGGTGGTCAAGGTGGCCAGAATTTCGGAGGTCAAGGTGGCCAGGATTACGGCGGAGGCCAAGGTGGCCAATGGAATGGCGGAGGCCAAGGAAACTTTGGCGGTCAAGGTGGCCAATGGAATGGCGGTGGTCAAGGTGGCTACCAGCAGCAAGGAGGCTTCGGCGGGCAGCAGGGCGGCTTCGCCGGTGGAGGCCAGAACGGTTTTGGTCAGCAAGGCGGAGGATTTAACTTCGCCCCGGCGAATGGTGCCGGCCAGGCGCAAGGTGCGCCGCAGCAGGGCTTGAATCAGGGAAACGCCCAAGGTCAGTAGGCGCCGGTGAGCCTACTGATCGCCCGGAACCGAAACCACCGGATATAGAGAAGCAAGGTGCTCCGCTGCAGGCAAGGACCGCAGCGCGAAAGGGATGCTGCGAAAGTAACGCAAAGATACGGAAAAGAAATCCGAAAGTTCGAGAAAGTAACTCGAAATCGAGCGAAGGGGCTCAGAAAGGTGATGGCAAGGCTATCAAAAGATTACCGCAAGGACGGAAGAATTTGACCGAAAGGTCACCGCAGAAAGTAACTGCGGGAGGTCAAGAAAGTAACTTGACTCAACCGGGGCTGACCGAAAGGTCACCGCAGAAAGTAACTGCGGGGAACAGGGTTGACGGAAGGGCCTCAACTCTGCATCCGGGACAGCAGAAAGTAACTGCAAATCAAGAAAGTCACGAAAGTAACGTGACGCTGCAAGGACAGCAGACCGAAAGGTCACCGCGGAAAGCATTCGCGAGGAAGAGTGAAGCTACTCTGCGAAAGACGCAAGCGGAAATCTCAAGCGAGGAGGATGATGAGACACATCACGCGAGATTTCGAAATTTCGTCGAAAAGAAGTTTGAAGAAGACGGAATAACTATAACGATGCAACAAACGCATGAAGGGGGTCCGGATAAACCGAGATTTCTGGAGCATATGAAGAAAACACTCCAAGAGAGAAAAGCTGCTGAGAAAGGTCACGGAAGGGCCGTGACAGCGCAAGGAGCGCAAGAGACCGAAAGGTCACCTCAAGAGAGAGCTGAAGAAGTGAAAGGTCATGAGAGACAGCCAGTGCAACAGACTCAGAAATCACTGAATGAGAAAGGTCACGGTGAAGTCGCCGATGAACCGAAAGGTCAAGAAAGTAACTTGACTCTGCGAATGGCGCAGCAAACAGTGAAACAGAGCGAAGGGGCACAGCAAATCTCAGACGACTCTCTTGATTCAGCAAATAAGTTGCAGCAAAAGATGGAGTGGCAAAAAGTTGCTTATCGGCCGAATGGACGGCACGGCATGTGGAAACCAGTTCCTCCACCACAAAATACGAGACTTTCCAGAGAAGCTTACTGGGAAGAAAGAGAAAGACATGACTGGTGGATGAGAAAGCATCTCGAGGAACAAGTAAAAGCGGCACACCCGAAAGTACAAGAGTATTGGAAAGAGAAAGTCCAATGTGACGAAAATAACCGCCAGTTTCGAGAGCGGATTGAGAAGGGTGAATTACCGCCTCAGTATGGTGAAAAAGTGCCTTTACAAAGGTCAACAAATGGCGGATTTTTCATGTCTAGACCACAAAGGTCACCGGACTTAGCGCAAACTCCGAAGAAAGGGAAGTCATACGATATGACTGAAGCAATCCGGAATGACATCGAAAGGTCACCGCCCAGAACTGACGGGATGTCATCTCAGATTGATCCAACTCGCACCAACAACGAAGTTGCGAAGAAGATTACAGATTGGATGAAAGAGAACGACCATAAGATGGTTGTGTACGAAAGGTCACCAGACGAATTGAAAAAGGGAGAAGATGACGAGATGACCCTTGCAGACGAAATTACGCAAGAGATAATGGAAAAACTGCAAGAAAAGCCGTCCAAAGACGTGCGCAATAAAAGGTCACAATACGAAGTTATTGCGCAAGTAATAAAAGGTCACGAAACTCCCTACGCACAAGAGAAGGGGTTAATGTGCGAAGTGGCAAAGGCCACGGGCAAAGAAGTCACCGCGAAAGAGCAGACGAATGCCTTACCGAAATCAAAACGGATCGAAAAGTTCTCAGATGTGCGACCCGACGTACCGAAACGGATAGATCGTTGGAGCTCAAAAGGTCTGATAGAGAGCAAGCATGCTGCACCGATCCCTGTCAAATGTCGAATAAGAGTCTTGAAACTCGAAGACGGAAACTTACCGAAACGGATTGAAGCCTACACGCACGAAGTCAAAGTGGGCAACAAAAAGGTCATGGCGATGCTTGACACTGGCGCAGAGACGTCTTTGATTTGCCAACAGTTTTGTGAACGGAATGGCCTTCACATTTTACCGCTCCCGCCAAGAAGGACGGTGATGATCAAAGGGATCAGCGGAACGTCAGGTTTTCAAGTAACGCATTACTGCGTCGCACCAGTGACTTTAAGAAAGAAAACGAGTCAACACTCGTTCTACGTCAGACCAGCGTCAGACGATGTCCAAGTCCTACTGGGATTCGACTTCCTCGCAAAGAAATTCATCCTGATAGACGGGGATGACGAGGAAGAACGAGAAACTGAAGCTGAAGACGATGAGCCGAAATCATCCGCAAAAGTTAATGCAGGAAAGGTCACCGAACTTCAACCAAGAAATAATTCGGGGCAAATGGCTATCCCAGTACCAGAGGCACAGGGATCGAAAGATAATAAACAAACCGAGAATGGTGAAAGGCTAATCCCAGTACCAGAGGCACGGGGATTAGAAAAGGCCGAAAAGAACAAAAGGTCACCAAAATCAAAAGGAAAACAAAGGTCACCAACGATGGAACAAATCAAGATTATGCAAGCAGAAGCGCTGATTGCAAAGAAACAGTCGCTAGTGCCTGGATTGGAGTGGTCAAAGCTAATCCCAGTACCAGAGGCACCGGGCACGAGAATGGTTGGGCCCAGGAAAGAGCCTGGACTTATGAATAGCGACGAAAGAGCATTATTCTCGGAAATACGAGACCAGGCCAGAAAGCAACTGGATACGAAGAAAGCAGAACATGGTTCTCAGCATACTTTCGAACCACGTACTGCTGATGAGAACCGAAATAAAGTAAGAGAGCGGGTTAGAGGTCGAGACACGCGCCTGCACAAAGACGTAGCAGAGAGTAGGCGTCGTCTTACTTCCGAACCACGCTCTGTAGACGAAGAAATTGAAGTTGTCGAGGTATCCTCAGGAGATAGCGTAATTGAAATTGAAGGGGAAGATGAATGGACAGATACCGACTCTGGAGAGGCGAGTAATCGTGCTATCGTCCGCCCCGAACCGAGACAACGGATGCCGGAAGGGGAAAACCGCGTCGTTTCACGCAAACC